GCCCGCGCCCCCCGCCACTGCCAGCCCAGGGTGTTGCCGGATGCCACACGCACTCACAAGCCCTCACGCCTTCAGTGTCCTCATTCCCACCGTGCCCCTGGGGAAACTGAGGCATGGGTAATGGTGGCAAAGTAGGTGACATGCATGTGCCAGGCTGTGAGCGCCCCACCCGTCCTCCATCAGAAGGCTGCTGCCCAGTGGAACCCCTCTCCCTGCAGTTAATGGGGTTTGGCCGGTGAGCTCCATGGGGCTGGGGGCTCCCTGGCAGTGTACGCCCCCCAGGGCAGCCTGGCTCCACCTCGAGCAGGTCATGCTGCGGGCCGTAGGCTGTCGGCCCCACTGCTGCACTGGTGCTGAGTGTAACCGCGGGGGCAGGCGGAGAGACGCTGCCCGTTTGTCCCCAGGTCCGACAGACCCCCCCCCCCCCAGGAAGGCAGGCTGGTGTCCGTGAGCCATGCAGGGGCGGGAGGAAGCAGACGGGGTCTCACCGTGGCGCCTGCAGCAGCTGTTTGACATGGGGCCCTATCACGGGGGACGTGAGGTCGTAGAATTCAGTCCAGTAGACGCAGAGCTCGCGGTACCGGACCAGCAGCTCCATCACCGTCCGGAACCCCTCAGCGGTGCTGAAGTTCTCTGCCTCCCGAGTGCCGCTCTCCCAGGCGTAGATGGTCAGCAGCTCCAGGGCGTATTTGGCTGGCAAACCCGACACCCTCTGGGAAAGCTGGGAAAGCAACGGGGGAAACCAGCCTGAGACATGAAGTGGGAGTACGGAGCCTCAAATCTCTGTTGCTGCATGGCCAGGTGTGGTCCCCCCCAGCCTACACCCTGTGCTCTGCCCACACCCTTGGGTGCTTAGCAGGGGCTGGGGAAGGTGAACCGGGGCACCGTGAACCAACTAGTGCGTATGTGGAATCCAAGCTGCTCAGCTGTGTGTCAAGGCCCTATATTGCTAACACAAGTGGGGATTCTCCGTTAGTATAGGGGGCAGGGGTCCGTGCTTCTGAAACAGAAGGATCCCCGTGTTACCCCACTTCCAGCGGGCTAGGAAAAGAGCAGCCAAAGCCAAGACAGCCTCTGGGAAGCCAAGGGGTCTACCTGAGGGGGACCTCCCCCTCTTGCTGCAGGGAGACCTCTGCATCTGACAGGCAGTGAGAGACAGTGGGTAGGGGGGGCTCCTCCAGCCGCAGCAAGTTCTTGAGTTTGGCCGGGCGCCGCTTCACGAAGTACCTCTGCAGCTCAGTGAAGGAGGTGCAGAACTCCCCGGGCCCGGCGCCGGTCCGGATCAGCGCCTCGTAGATCTGGGGAGAGGGCTTGGTGCCTCGAGTCACATACCCTGGAGGGGGAGGGAAGGGTCACAGTGGGCCAGCTCGGGACTCCTGCCCCGTTGGTGCCAGGGGAGTGTGTGCCCGGGGGTTCCGAGGGGCGGCCTGTCCCATGTCCATGCACAAGGCGCACCCTTGTTCCCAGGAGCTCTCAGGACAAACCCCAGGCCCCATGAGGCTCCTGGGGCTCAGGGGGCCAGGCTGAGGGGCAGGGATCCGCGGTGCCTACCTAAGGCATCATAGGCCGGGAGCATGTCCACCTCAATGGATTCCTGCCGCTTCTTCGACTGGATGGTGATGGAGAGCGAGCGCGGGCAGACGCCCTTCCTCTTCGGTGTCGAGAGCTCCACGCCCACGCTGTAGGCGATGCTCTGCCGGCACCGGTTCAGTTTCTGCTCGATGGTGCTCAGCACAGCCGCGCGCTTATCCGCCTGATCCTTGTAGCTGGAGAAGCAGCTGAGGAACAGGACCAGATCCGCGTCCGACTTGTTCTTCAGGGCCGTCCCCTTGCCTGCCGAGCCGCCCTGCCAGGGAACAGAAGCATTCGCTCATCGTGCTGCCCTCGCGACGCCCCCAGGGCGCAGAGTCCCACATCTTCCGACTGCTGTACGTTCAGGAGGGGCCGCAGACAGCCCTCGCCTTCACTACATGCCCCGAGTCCCCCTAGAGCAAGTCCTCCCTGTGCACTGAGTGAGGCAGCGCCCTATGGCACAAATAATAGGGGATCCTGTCTTTAAAGGCTGTACTGTAATGCAGCTGCACAATGGGGCTGAGTTAAGGTTAAACAGGTGACCTTAACACTGGCATTTCTGAATGTTTGAGTTGCAACCTCAAGAGCTCTCTGCCAGTGTAATTTGATTAGACATAATAAATGGGATAGAGGGGGGGATTGTATGAACATCCCGTCCTGGGGCTGGTAAAGGGGAGTGCTGAGAGCCACTGGGTCAGAGAAGGCCGATGGATACCCTGCCTAATAGTGCTAGATTAGAAGGCACCACATTGGAAAGAGCTGGGAGGTATTTTTGGTGCCCCAGTAAATCGTTACCCCGCGGATGTTGCTCAGTGAGGCCACGAGCGTCTCAGCCCAGGCCGCAGGATAACGAGCACGTCCCGTGTGCATTTGGCAGGAAGGGACATGCCCAAGGGAGACAAACCCTCACGCTTCAGAGCTGCACTGGCCAAACTTCCTCTCCAGGCAAAGGATGGTCCAATTGTCCGCAAGGGGATCTCTTGTGCCTTCCTCTGAAGCCGCTGGAGGTCCCTGTCCCAGACAGGATCCTGGGCTAAACCTGCGCCGACCCCACCAGCAAGCTGGCAGCCAGGGTGGATTTGGGAGCCCGGCTGGCTCTCGGACCGCGCCGCGGAGCGTTTGGCTTGCCCAGTCCTGGACGCACGCCCTCCCCTTCTGAAAGGAGCCCTGGCGAGCACCCGGTCCAGCCCAGCCTCACCTTCACCGTCTTGAGCAGCTTGATGTCCTCGAAGCACGTCTCCTTCAGGAAATCACAGAGCCGCCGGACGGTGTCCTTCACCTGCAGCCGGAACTCCTCGCTGGGCTGGAGGTTCTCCATGATCCAGGTATCCAGCGAGCCGGCGGGCACTTCGTACAGCTCCATCTCTGCAGCTTGGCTCCCTGCTCCTGCCTGTCTCTGACACTGCAGCTGCTGCTGGCCCCACCCGCCTCCTCCCCTGTGGATGGCGTCAGACTGAGCTTGTTAAGGTGGCCTGGCTACAGGGCTGGGATTCCCCACCAGCCACCTGCTGGGCAGGGGCCAGGAGGGAAACAGGGGGCAGCCCAGTGCACACCCCCATCCCCAGCTGCTGGGGTCCCGGCTGGGGGGCCCCTAGGGCTGGCTGGCCAGCCTGAGTTTCTGCCCCTCTCCCTGCCTGAGTGACACTGACCGGAGCTGTGTTCCCAGAATGGCGGGGACCCAGGGTCACAGAACTGCCCCAGCAGGGCAAGTACCAGCTCACCAAAGGGGCTGGGGGTTCTCCGGCCCTGCC